ACTTTATTTCTGTTGTTCAAATTTAACTTAAGTCTTGAATTCAGAATTTAAAATATTAAAAACTTGTTGCATACCATATTTTTAGATAATACTAAACTATCAAGAGTACTGTACATGATTGTTTTGTACACCTGCTTACAATATTAATCATTAGCTGATGAGGTTATCGGTATATGGTAACCTTTTTAATGATAAATTTACTAGGCTTATTTATGTGCAAATTGTGTGTGTTTTTAAGGGCGTGTGGGTGATTTAGAATATGGTAAGAGAAAGTAGGCATGAAATCAAAACTTGAGTCCAGCGAAAAAACAAAACGAAGTGCTGATGTAAGTTGATCATCACTAGTGCCAACACACCCTCGCCGTCTGAATTTCCTGGTTGGTCGACGTTGTACTACGCCGAACCCAGTTTGCCGAATAGAGTTGAAAAAAGTGTAATATATATATTGGAACTGATACAATTTTCAATCACATTTCTAGTATAACTAATAAAAAAAATGGTGATGGGTTTGTCTAGGTTGTTTTTGTCTGATATCATGTGTCGGTGGTTTATTTTGTCCCACTGATCTTTGTCTGGGGTTATTTGTCGTGTGATATTTTGACTTAAAGATATTTCGTTTAGGGTATTTTGTCTGGTATCATTTTGTCGTGAGCTAAATATTTTGTCCTGGTGATCTTTTGTATGGGGTTATTTGTCGTGAGATGTTTGGTCTTAAAGATCTATGTTATTAAATTCTGAGATCCTTCTTCGTGTAATTGTTGTTACCTATACTTATCGCCCTGTTTTTCCCTTCCCTACCCTACCCTTCTCTTTCTCATATCAACTCCCTTTCTTACTCTAGTATACGGTCAGTACAATTGAAACAAAGACCTACCATCTAGACTAGATGAACGGGTTCTTGTATATGGTCAGTACAATTGAAACAAAGACCTACCAGCTAGGTGAACGGGTTCTTGTATATGGTCAGTACAATTGAAACAAAGACCTAACATCTAGATGAACGGGTTCTTGTATATGGTCAGTACAATTGAAAAAAGACCTATCATATAGGTGAACGGGTTCTTGTATATGGTCAGTACAATTGAAACAAAGACCTACCATCTAAGTGAACGGGTTATTGTATATGGTCAGTACAATATTTAAACAAAGACCTACCATAGGTGAAAGGGGTCTTGGCTTTGATTAAGTCTCCACCACTAAATCACCATATTTAATAGGGCGTTTGAGTTGTACTAGTATGAAGCTGTATTTATGCGCTGTTAGATATTACTATTTTTGTTTTTAAAGCTGCCCATATTTAAAACAAAATTCTAATATGAGAGCATTTAATTACTCGATACTGAATTACTGACATACACACATCTACTATGTTAAAAAACAAAATAAGAAAACATTTTCAATTAAGACTTTACAGTTTATTATCAACTCATAAGAATACCATTGAATGAGTTTAATTACATTCATGTATGTTAATATGAAAAAAATTGGCAACATAATGAAATGGGTGAACAACAAATGGCATAAAGAAAGTAACAAGTTTTTAAAAAAACTTGTTGAAATGGTTCGCTGAAATTTTTTTTTACAATGGGCAGAGACAGTGCAGGGATGTACATCAAAATACTATGTTCAGACGAAGGCAGAACCAACAATTGTACGGGAGTTGTCTCCCATTTATTCTTTCACTGGGCTCAGTAATACAAGAAATATTCAACAGCAACAGTGGTGACATGGTGAGGGGTGGTGAGACAAGGTGAGACGAACAGGTGAGACTAACAGGTGAGCAGGCCAGTCCTTGACCACAAACATTGGTGTGACAAAATTTTATGATTTTATTTTCTTTAAAATAGTCTTTTTAGGAGGCTTCGAAACAAAAACAAAAAATAGCTTTTAAAATTGAACGAAAATTTTGTATTGTTTGTAAAGAAAACTACCATGTCAGCTAAATATATATTAAGGTTTTATATACATTTTCAGTTTGTGTTAAAAAATGTTCAATATGGCACCCCAAATAATCTTAAGAAAAAAAAAATAAAAGTAACTTTGTAGTTGTAGCTTTTTACAATTGAATGTTTGGTTCCATTTTAGAAAAAATAAAAGGATTCATATCTAGGCTGCCTTGTAATGCTTTTTGAAACAAATTAGCTAATACAATTTTTAAATGTAGACAGATGGTAGAAAAATGTACATTTATAGCAATGTTAAATGAATCCACGGAAAATACACCATCCCCCTATGTGGGTACCCTGTTGGTGTTGGTGCCACCACCACACCACGGCACCACAGTGGCTACAGCAACAAAAGGTAAGAGACAATGTACATATATGGCATCTAGAAATCACAGTAGAGTCAAACAGGTGTGGTATAACAAGGTGCCGGACACACAGCCTTTGCCCAGCGTCACACAGGTGTGGTGTAACACGGGGCCACAGGTGTGGTATAACAAGGTGCCTTTGCCCAACCCATGTGTAATGAGTACAAAGTGAGAACTATAACATAAAAATGTAAGCTTACAGCAAATGTCATTAACATCACTTCCATTAACAATTTTAAAAAGAAAAGCTAATTAGTGATCTGTGAACTAAAAACTCAATTCAACTGATAAAATTTAAAGAAATTAAAATACATTTTTCTTTAAATTGTTGACTACAATTTGGGTTATTAAAATTTAATAAAAAAAAAACTGATGATTGAATTTTCTTTCGGGTTTAAAATGCTAAAAATTATTTTAAAAATGAAACATGTTATTCTAGGAAAAAATTGTTTTGTTTTTGTTTTGTTACCTCCCTTGAACATTTTGTTTAGAAAATGTGAACAATTTTATATTGCACAAATTTAAATCACAATAAACGCACTTTGATAGAGCATACCAACAAAACAAATAAAACAAGAGTAACATAACGCATGATAAACCAACATATGACACACCAACAAATAACAGACCAACATATGACAGACCAACATTACATCTGCTTAAAGGCACAAGTGTTAAAAAAATATGCATTCACACCAAGTTCAAAATGTAGTAGTAAATTTAGAATTTTAAACCATATCTTTCAGGAAATATCTTTTCTTGATGAAAAACAATTTCTTTGATTTAAAGCTGGCTGTAAACTGGTTGAAATATGTGAACCGAGATTTAGCATGGAGAAAAGTATATCAGAAGCTAGAAGTAAGATAAAGACAAGCTGAAAACGTAACTAAAATTAAATGTAAATACCTGGTGTTATAGCTTACAACTGATATAGATATACATAGCTGTATTAGTTATAGTTTGTTACATGTGTTGAAACTATATTATATCATACAAAATATATATGTACGTGTTGTAGTGATCTATGATCCGCTATGCTGCTACTATATTTTATGAACTGTGTTGAATAATATTTGGCATATCTGTAGATATACAGTAGTACAAGGGTGGAGTGGTTAGGTAGTGGGTTCAAAACCCAGTTTTTGCCTCACAAAGTAAACAGCTTCCACAAAAAAATTTGTAAGACATAATAGAGCTATTTTATTTAGAACTACACAGTAAAATAAAATTTTAAAAATATATAAATTTAAAAAAAAAATACAACTTTGTAAATAAAAAAAAAATTGTTTTAACTATCACAATTTCCTCTAGTTTAGAAGAGTTAAACATGGCTGGTAACATAAACTTTTGTTTAAACATGAACAGTTTTTGTAAGATAGACAGCAAACAAACAGTAGAGGATATATCAACAAGTCTAACTGCATCAATCACCGACCTTCTATAACAAGCAATCCAGCAACAGTGCCTTATACAATCTCATTACAAGCAAAGGAAATATAAAACCTTTCAAGTATCATTCAGTCAAATAACAATGCTATTTAACAAGTGGATTTGTAGTAACAAAAAATGGTTAGCATAAAAATGTACATCCAATAACAAAGATCACCGGTTGAAAAACAACAGATCTACAAAAAAAAAACAGATGGTTTGAAATTAAAAGCATTAAAAAAATAAAGCTATTTGCTTTTGTCAAATTTCTGATCACTTTGTTTTTTCCACCAAAATTTAAAAGCAGTTAAAAAAAATGAAACAACTGTCTCATATTTTTTTTTTTTTACAAGTGTAAAGTAAAATTTATACTGAATGGAAGGTCAATCTACACATGGCTAAAGGTCCAATATTTTTGTTTACATTTTGATATTACCTTTATAACAGTGTATTTTAGATAGTATACAGTCATTAGTGTAGGTTTTTTTTATTTTTCTGATGTGTATCTTTAAATGAAAAGCAATCACCATTTCTTAAAAGTAAAAGTTATCTTAAAAAAAAGGAGGTGCATTAATAGAGTGTGAAATAAATGGATGAGAATAAGATCTATTATTATAATTCAGTGTACATATCATATTCATGGGGTGAGGAGGTTGATATGGGTGGACTAATGGGCTCTAAAAATATACCTTAGAAAGAACAAATAAAAAAATCCTTCATAACGAAATATACAGAAATTAAGTTTGAAGGAAGCTAATTAAAAATATAACACAGTTGTGGGCGTTGCCTGACTGAAGTTAAAATAACAATTTATCTGCCAATTAGCATCTGGCTACTTCAATATTTACTTAGTAACTTTCCAATATTTACTTAGTAACTTTCCAATATTTACCTAGTAATGTTCAAATATTTAATTAGTAACTTTCCAATATTTACTTAGTAACTTTCCAATATTTACTTAGAAACTTTCAAATATTTACTTAGTTACTTTCCAATATTTACTTAGTTACTTTCCAATATTTACTTAGTTACTTTCCAATATTTACTTAATTACTTTCCAATATTTATTTAGTAACTTTCGTAATACAAACCAACAAAATATCACTACAAACAAAAATGTCCTATAAAGCTCAAATTTAACACTATGAGTTGTTCTATACTGTAACTTACACCAATTTAATTAATTTGCAATGGTGAGGGAATAACTAATTTAATAGTTTTTTTCAGAACACAGCCTAGGCTGAGAATGATTTTAATTTCTTACAGCAACTGACAGCTGGGAATACATTTGTAAGAACTGCATGAGTCACAGCCTTGCTAGTGGGAGGGTAGTCAGTGGACAAATCAAATAGAAAACAAAAACCCAATTAATTAAAGAATAATAAAGCTAGCTGGATACCTTGACAGGCATCTGCTAAATAATTAGAGGCACTAATTACTTTATTTAAGGCTTATAAAAAGGTTAGGTAATTAACATTTTATCTTTTCATTTTAACACAAGATTTCTTTTAAACTACCGGTCTACATCAAATGAATCATAACATAGCAATACTGTGTTGACAAGTAAGAAAATGTGTTGTGGATTATCAGGAATGGGCCGTGCATGAACGAGATGAACGCTGTAAGCATTAAAAAATAAACAAGTAGCTAGTTATAACAGTTCAACAATATTCTTGATGCAAGTTGTGTGAAAGGTTGATATAGATGGCTGTACAAATCCTAGTCTTCAACAATGTGCGCGTTGGTTTTATTTAAAGTTAGTACTGAAAGTCTGGTACGAGCCAGGGTTTAGAGGAAACTCTCATCAAGATGTGTCCCTGGGGGTGCCAGAAGATGGGCCTGAGCCGCTGGTCACGTAGTGAGACCCACCCTGGTGGGATCGCTGGTGGAGGTGGTGCTTGGGCCCTGGGCTGTACATGTAACCCTGGGGCTCTTGGGGTCGGGTGTCTGATATAGTGTCATGATGGCCGTACGGGTCATCTTCAGACGTCTGGTGAGTCCTGGGATCTTGGAATGGTCCGGTTTCGCTCATCTTCCTCCCCGACATCCACTGGGTGGGGGAGAAGGTGGCGTAGTCGTCCAGGTCTTCGGATTCTTTACTGCTGGTGGAGGTGCGGGCCTGGTTGCTGGGGTCATCTGTCGACGGCAGTGATTCCACACTAGCCTGCATCAACCGCCTGTGGCCTTGACCCATCTCAAGGTCGAGACTTTCAATGCTAGATAAAGACGAGCATGGTCTGACCACTGAAATGTCCTGGGATTCAGAAGCCTCAGAGTTTTTCCTATCAGTCCCCTCGTCTGGCACAGAGAGGTAACGCCCACGCTTCGGGGCCCGCTTGGAGTGCGTACGCATATGTCTGGTGATCATATCTCTACGACAGGCAGCGTACGGACACTGTGGGCACCTATACGGCTTCTCCCCTGTATGGGTGCGCTTGTGCGTGTTGAGATGATCTGAGCGGCTAAACACTTGGTTACAATCCATGCACACGTAGGGCTTGAGCCCGGTGTGCAGGCGCATGTGACGTGTCAGCATGTCTGAGCGTGAGAAAGATCTCTCACAGACCTTACAGTAGTGGATCTTGTTGTTGTCAGCAGAGCGAATGGTTTCTGTGGGCAGGTGCTTGGCCATGTGCTTGGCTAGATTGTCATTGGATGGGAAAACCTGACTGCACACAGGGCACTGGTAGGCCACGTCTGAGTCGGAGAAGGATCTTTTGGGGAAGTTCTCCCACTTGACATGGGCCACTGACTTAGACCTGAGAGAGAATTGGATGGGGGAGGTGGGGTACAAGGCCCTAGGGGAGACAGCTAGTCTGTTGACCTCAGACATGGGGTTCAGTAGGGGGGTGGTGGTATGTGAGGGGTTGATGGATGGGAATGTGAAAAATCTGGGGGACATGGGGCTGGGGGAGATGATATCTGTATCAGAGTGAGCTCCTACGGCTTCGTATGTGTTGAAACTGAATATCCTACCTCCTTCTGGTACAGAACACAGTGGGGACTGAGACTGGGGGGAGAGAAGCCCGTGTGGAGAATAGTTTAACCTGTGAGAGGAACGGAAGAGGGGGGAGTAGTGAGACTTGGGGCCGGGGGAGCTTGTTGGTGTTTCTGACTCGGGGAGGGAGGCGGTTCTGTACATGGCGTGGAATGGTGAGGAGCCAACAGGCGCGCGGGATAGGTCCAGTGGTTGTTGTTGGTTCCTGGGCTTTGGTTTCTGGGCGGCTCTGACCGGCTCCATGAAGACGTCCCCTTCATCAGCGCTCAAGTCATGAGAGTCGCCCCGGCAACTCTCGTCAGCTAACGAGCGTCTGGGACTCTTGGGCATGGAGCTCTCCACCGCGTCCAGTTCATCCCCAACTGTCTCAAGCTTGAGGATGGGTTTAATGTCAACAGAACAGTCTGGGTGGACATACAACAAGGAGCCGTCAGACCCAGGCTCCGAGCCGGTCGATGGCTCTTCCTTCAGGCTGGAGACGTACCTTTGGTGTAGCCTGCGTTTAAACTTCGGAGGCTGCAGTTTTTCATCTTCCCCACCATGCCCACGCTCAGCATCATGCACTCCTTCACAGTCCTCATCCCCCATAACAACCTGCTGCCTGTGAAGGCTTCTCCTACCCGACGGCGATGCTATATGTCTCAAGGGAGAAGTTTTCCGACTCCCTGGGGAGTGTGTACGTCCAGGCTCAACCGTCCCTGAAAACGGACTTTGTTCTCTGCTGCTGCCACTGTCTTCAACAACACTGGAACTGGTCTCTGAGTCCACCAGGGTATCGTCTACATCAGTGTCTCCACTAAGAAACCTTTCCCTAGATACAACATTGGCACTGCTTGCGCTAACAGCAGGTCGCGCCACATTGGAATTGTCCCCTGCATTAGAAGAGTCACCACTGCTCCCAGAGGAAACATGGCGCCACCTCTGGGTATCAGATTTCATCCCAGAAACTGACACATTCAACCCGGCTGCCTCCAGTGTTGGCACAAAAGATGATTTCCCTGGCATCTGGTTGACGTCAGGGAACACAAACAGCTGTCTGTGTTTGTGTCCACTTATGGGACTCAGAGATGGGGACCTTTCTTGACCAGGGACCTGCAGCACCATTGACGTGGACGTCCGCGGTGAGGTATTCCCTGAAGAAGTGGTCAACGGACTGTCCAAGTTCTGACTGTCACTGACTGTCGCCTGGGACAGTTTTTGAACAATCTGCACAGTGGGTGACAAGTTATCTGGCGTGTGGGAGAGCCACGGCGCCGTCATCCCACTATCTGTTAGCTCGCTCATCTGGATCTCTGGCAAGTTGGGCATGCCAGATTTCTGAGAAATAAATCCTTGACCCTGGGATCCAGAAGCCTCTGGTAAAGTTAGGTAACAAGTGTAGGACCCCGAGGTAAGTTCAGAATCACCTCCGCTAGACCTGGAAGGTCTTTGATACTCAGAGGACTGTGTAACATGGTAATGTTCCGCCTGATGAGAATGTTCCATCATCTGCTCTTGGTGTCTCCCAGCCTGTGTGGTGTGCCAGGTACTCTGCTGGCACCTGTAGGACTGGGAGAACTCTGGGTAAGGTTCAGACTTTTTAGGGTAACTCATACTGGCGGCGGGTTGACCAGCAAACTCTGAGAACTGAGTGTAGCGAGTTCCTTGAGGATCCGATGCAGATTCTCCGCCGGAGAAATGCCGCGGACGCACGGTCATAGACGCCTGAGGTGAGCCATGGAACTCTTGGCTGGAACCAGCCTGGCGCTGATGAAACTGTGGGTAGTGGACTCCCTGTAGTGTGTTTGGATGCTTGAAGACCGCCTCGGTAGACAAGACAGTTTTACCCTCACAGTACTCTTCTCTTGGATCTGCTGTATGCATCGGGGGGACAGAGGTGTGAGCCAGCTGCTGCCTTTCTTCCCTTTCTCCGGCGGGCAGGCCAGTGTTGTTCTCCTTGTTATCTGTGGTTGGGTAGCCAGGGGTGGATACAAACATGGCCGGCCGATGGACTACATGGTGCTGCGGGCTTTCATCTGGCTGCTCTCTAGGAGAATGGGTCATGCTAGTCAGAGTATAGGCTAGTCAGAGTATAGGCTAGTCAGTCTATCCAGACTTTTACCTCTTGATAGGCAATGAGAATTTTACCTCACAAATATTCACAATCCTTTTTTGGCACAGTGCGAATAATACTGAAATGCTTCTTCTTGTGAAGTGAATTATACTTTAAATTATAAAACAAATGAAACTCCACACTCATTCCTTTTCACATAACTGGATTATCCTCATGATTCATCCAGCTACTGGATTGTTTGAGGTTATGAAAATAACTGGTCTATTGGTAAACCCTTCAGGTGCAAGAAAATCAATCCTGTTTCAAATTTCATTATCAGATACTTCAACTTTTGAGACAATTCTGGGGAACTAAACCCTATGTAATAGGCAAACACCACACCACTATAATCTTGGGATGATTTTTTTTTGTTGCTTTTTTAGTTGTTTTTTTTTGGGTTTTATCAAAGCTGACAGAGAACGTGAAAAAAAGTAAGTGCCATCAAATTTTTTTCTTTCTCTTATTGATCCAGTTTGTGAGCTCAACACGCAGCAGGCTGGAACTGGACCATGGTGCCAGGTGTTCTCAGGTCCACTTTCCTCCACCAGAGGCCGGTCTAGAAGTGCCTGACGTGTTCACGTAGACGGGCAGGGTGCATGGTGACTGGAGTTAAACTCTCTTATCTCAGCTGCTGTAGCCAGCTCTAAAATTCCCATGTCTAAATTCTCCAGTCGAGAAAGTGTTGCGGTCCAAAATGAAATTGAAACTTGCTTTGCATTGTCCAAACTCTGAAAAAAAAAGGATAGTGGTGATTATTTTAATTAATTTAGGCTTAAATATATTAATTTTAATTTATTGTATTATTTAGGTTATACTAATAAGACATTTTTAAAATACAAGGACATAAAGAATAATTGATCAGGTAGATTGCTTTAATTCTATTCAAGTAGCTGCATATCTGGTTGTAGGGACCCACATTAATAGGGGCCCATTTGTCAAATTATACAGGTCTGTGGGTGCTCCATAAAAAAGATGGGGGCAGGGGAGATTAAAAGGGATGGGGTAGCAAGATAATCACATACATGTGCTTCTGCGCAGTAGCAACAAAAAAATGTGTTTTTTTTCCCTAGACGAGGTCTACTACAGAGGGAGTGTCATGTTTTGTCTAGCAACTCCCCGAATGTCTGGAAAACACTGACCCAATTTGAGTGCAACGCGCGGCTCATAAACCCTACCAGTCCTTTGATCTACATCAAAGGGCTGCTGTAGTGTCCTGTAGCAGTGACTATCGTGTACATTACAATGTAAAAACACAACCATCGAAAATGTATTGTGAATAACTGATAACAATTGAGCCGAATCAATTTGTACGGGCTATATTCAGTCAATTAATCTAACGCGGCATACCAAAGAGAGCACCATCTTGCTAGCCCATCCCGGTGAAATTACCCAACGCTAGCATAAACACCCACATAGCTGATACTAAACCCTTCATTAGCAATTTACATTTCTAAACGTGTCACAATTGTTCACGTAGAGTTGTCTTTTTTTTAATTAATTATAATTGCAGGCGTCATTAATCGCAGGGTATTTTATATGCGGAGTGACAAAGAACAGATGCGTGAAAATGGTGACATTCTCGGGTAAGTACTATCTACCTACCTACACCAAAGGGGCCGATGAAATAAAGCCGCAGTGTGTTTGGGAGACAAACTGAAATCCTAAACGCGTTCGTACTTTCTGGTTCTAGAATATCTAACCGCAGGCCGCGAACTGTTTGTGGTTTATATGGGTATATCCGTTTTAATAAAAAAATAAGTTCTACATGCCCATGAGCATTGAAAAATATGTTATTATTAAAACGACAGACATTTGCTTTTTTTCTCATTAGAAATGGAATTGCGTAATCAGTGTAAGAATTTGAAATACTATTTCTCATTTCAAAATTTAGAAATACAATACATATTGCATTTTTCTGTGAAAAAGGAGAGGAAAAAAAAGAAGACATTTTGCAATAGGTTGAGTGAAGAGCATCACATATATTATCTACATTTATACATAGGGTTACATTTACATTGATCTTATTCTTTATGAAATTATCAATATAAGCTCATGGATGTTTAACGACTTGCTACTTCGATCAGTTGTTTGTGGACGTAAAACGTAAATCATTGGACCGTACAAAGACACACTTGGTGTTTACGGACTTAGTGAGTAGCTTGGATCTCTGAAATTACGGAGACGGGTTACAGTATATTAGACATTATTAGGCATTAACCCACCCTCACCCTCTTACACACACCCCGCCCTCACTTCCCACAACTATCCGCTCAGCTATCTTCTCTACATACGTATCCCACTCTTCTCTCTACCTCCCCCCCACTCCCTACAATCTCACCCTACACATCCCCCAAGTAAATCACGATCAAGCTCAAATATTGATGACAGGCAAAGAAACTGGTGGGGGAATCAATTGATTTATTACAGACAAGTATTGATGACAAAGAAAGTTGACCTATTATATAGTAGAGGGCAGTCTGAGCATGAAGACAACTATAGACTGTAAGCTTGGTGGGTTCTAGGGCCGATGTTAGTAAAGCTGTCATCATTAGATACATGGAATTAATGATGAAATTAGCCACTAGAATAGACAAGCAAGATGATGTTTAAAGCGGGAACGTGCATAAAAGTAGCTACTGATGTCTAACGGGTAACTTGGGGCTATCACAACAGGTAGCTTTGTGACACCACACGCATAACGTTTAAGGTCACACACGTATATGGGTGACGTCACGGCACACAGCTTGGTGACGTCATATTTAACTTTGTGACACCACACGCATAACGTTTAAGTCCATACGAACCACGGTGTGTCATCACCTAGGTAGCTGGGTGACACCGCAATAATACCTCAGCACTGCCATGCAACTATCTCAGATAACTCACCTTAACATCCATTCATCTGGACAACACCACACCTTCAACGAGAAGCCACAATAAAATCCCCACAGAAACCCCCATGTTTAGTTACACCAGCCACGCGAAATAAAGTTTGACACGAACCAACTCACACAAGCCTCCCACGGCCAACACGCTAACGTCTAATAAAACCACTTGATATTTTTTCCTGTTCCCCTCCCCCTCCCTCCTCACGCAAGTGCACACTTGACTGCACCGGTGAGGACATGCGCACGAAAGTTGCAGTCGTCGCGCTGTAGTGCTCAGCCCAAACCTAGCATGTGCCGGCGGTGTGAGAGGTTGTTTCATAGCCCACACGGCCGTCAATGTGAGGGTCTAACACGACCGTCAATGTGAGGGTCTAACACTAACACGACCGTCAATGTGAGGGTCTAACACGACCGTCAATGTGAGGGTCTAACACTAACACGACCGTCAATGTGAGGGTCTAACACGACCGTCAATGTGAGGGTCTAACACGACCGTCAATGTGAGGGTTTAACACGACCGTCAATGTGAGGGTTTAACACGACCGTCAATGTGAGGGTTTAACACGACCGTCAATGTGAGGGTCTAACACGACCGTCAATGTGAGGGTCTAACACTAACACGACCGTCAATGTGAGGGTCTAACACGACTGTCAATGTGAGGGTCTAACACTAACACGACCGTCCATGAGAGGGTCTAACACGACCGTCAATGTGAGGGTCTAACACTAACACGACCGTCAATGTGAGGGTCTAACACGACCGTCAATGTGAGGGTTTAACACGACCGTCAATGTGAGGGTTTAACACGACTGTCAATGTGAGGGTCTAACACGACTGTCAATGTGAGGGCCTAACACAACCGTCAATGTAAGGGTCTAACACGACCGTCAATGTGAGGGTCTAACACGACCGTCAATGTGAGGGCCTAACACGACCGTCAATGTGAGGGCCTAACACGACCGTCAATGTGAGGGTCTAACACGACCGTCAATGTGAGGGTCTAACACGACCGTCAATGTGAGGGTCTAACACGACCGTCAATAAGCTAACACGACCGTCAATGTGAGGATCTAACACGATTGTCTATGAGAGGGTCTAACATTAACACGACCGTTAATATGAGGGTCTAACACTAACACGACCGTCAATGTGAGGGTCTAACACGACCGTCAATGTGAGGGTCTAACACGACCGTCAATGTGAGGGTTTAACACGACCGTCAATGTGAGGGTTTAACACGACCGTCAATGTGAGGGTTTAACACGACCGTCAATGTGAGGGTCTAACACGACCGTCAATGTGAGGGTCTAACACTAACACGACCGTCAATGTGAGGGTCTAACACGACTGTCAATGTGAGGGTCTAACACTAACACGACCGTCCATGAGAGGGTCTAACACGACCGTCAATGTGAGGGTCTAACACTAACACGACCGTCAATGTGAGGGTCTAACACGACCGTCAATGTGAGGGTTTAACACGACCGTCAATGTGAGGGTTTAACACGACTGTCAATGTGAGGGTCTAACACGACCGTCAATGTGAGGGCCTAACACGACCGTCAATGTGAGGGCCTAACACGACCGTCAATGTGAGGGTCTAACACGACCGTCAATGTGAGGGTCTAACACGACCGTCAATGTGGGGGTCTAACACTAACACGACCGTCAATGCGAGGGTCTAACACGACCGTCAATGCGAGGGTTTAACACGACCGTCAATGTGGGGGTCTAACACGACCGTCAATGTGAGGGTCTAACACGACCGTCAATGTGAGGGTCTAACACGAACACGACCGTCAATGAGAGGGTCTAATACAGATGGGCTCGAGTTGATGCAGTATACACTGGCTTGTTTAATGGTTTGACAAATAGGGGTCTGTAAGTGCTGATTGATACAGTACTTGTATACACTCTAGCTTGTGTAACAGTTACACCAATAGGGATCTCTGAATATTAATTAATGCAGTACTTAAACATACACAAACGATACAGTACTTTGCCAAGAGAGGTAACTCACAGCAAAGTGAAGCAGTACTTAAAGATAGTTATGCAATTTTGTGCCAACAGCGCTCTCCTGGTGCTAATTGGTGCAGTATTTGAAGGTACACATAGTTACAAAACGTTAGCTAGCCGTTCCCCTTAGACTCAACTTCAGATTATTGACACACACTTCCTTATGTTTTAGTGCCGTACTTACATATCAAGTTGAAAGAAAACCTTAAGACACAAATCGTTGTACACATCTGTAACATACATAAGCATACAGGGTTGTATAATGGTTTCTACATTTTTTTTATATTTTTACAGATAACCAACTTGATCGATACGACAGCATATCGATATAATAATTTTATCAATACCAGGTAATACATCATGATGTAGATACGTCGAGATATCAATAAGCAAAAAAAAAAAAACCAAATAATACTAGAATCTACATAGGATAGCAGTATATAAAATTTACAAAGTAACGATACGATAATAGAGTACTATATCGATAGAGCATACTATCGATACTATAAAAAGCACTGTGTAAGTATCGCTAATTTTGATGAATATAACACGTATACAAATAATCCAATTCTTAATGAGACAAAGATAAAAAATTTAGAAAAAAAAAAGTTGTTGTTATGACAAATTAGACAGCGATTGATGATGCAATCGGGTCAAAGGTTGAAATGTTGCATCAATAATATACAACAGCTAAATATTTGCCATTCCAGACTTCCACGGTATGACACATTACATGGGTCTATGGACATTAAGCCAGGACAATTTTTGTTTTAATAAGTCGCAACCAAAAGTATTTAACTGTAAGAATTTATTTAAAAACAAA